AGCAAAGATCTTTTTATTAGTTATTGAGTGATTTTAAAACTCTTATTTTGATCAATTAATAGTAATAACAGCACATCAATATTTCGCAAATGAATTAAAATACACAAACACGCTAGTCTGTCAAACTGTCATTTCAACATTTTTTTTTTAATATGTGCTTCAAATGCATTCGAATGAAGATTGACACGCCCCTTGCACAACAAAATTGCATAAAACTTTCTAAACATACAAGTAGTTACATCCACTACAATTATTTTTTAATACATCTGTGAGTAAAGTACACAATAAATATTTTTTCCCTATTAACTCTCTTGTACTACAAATAAAACAATTTTAGCAGCGTGATACCAAAGTGCTATTTGTACCCCTAGATGTGTACGTGGCTAGACGCACATGAACCTACGCCATTTTATATTATACACGTCAATAGGTTTTCGATCTTATATCAAAAATGTTAAAGTTGAAAGTCTATTAAAAGTTTGATGGATTGTACAAAGTTGACCTTCTGAATGTAATAATTGTAGCCGCGTCATCAACGCGTGCGCTTGACATGAAAGTGCTTTGTTTGTGCTCCAATGAATTCAAGGTTTATGATTTTTTGGACAAAATTGATGCTATGACTTACTATGACTTTTTGTAGGTACTGAAATTATTGCATAAAAGCCTTGGTGATAGTAGCAATTAAAAAAGTATGATGTATAGTATACCTAAACAAAAACAGAACAAATCTTGTTTGCATTTTTTTTACAAATCTTAATTGATATAAATCACATAAAGAGTAAAAAGAAATATTGCGAAATTGATGACGCAATGGACGTAATTTCTATTACGAAATATATACGCGTAGAATGCACCTGCGAAAATATTTTTAAGTCAAATATTTTAAAACAATGATCTCGGTCGACAAGTAAACGTTGCAAATGTAACGGAAAGGGTGGGTTTTGGAGTGCAGAGAGTAATATTGTGTAGTGTCGAGGGCGGCGGTGGGGGTCGCCAATCGATACGCACCCCTCTGCCCGGCCTAATGCACCCCTAACACGACGGTACACAGCTCGCACCAAACGCAACGCTATGGAAACCATACAGTCTATGTGTTCCCAGCTTAAAACCAGGTCATTTGCATAGTCAGCAGTCAGCCAACTCAGGCTCCAGGCTACTTTGTTTAAAAACACACGCAGAGAAACAGTTTGTGTGGCAAAAAATGTTTAAATATTAACTAACCTCTTAAAAGCGCTTCCCAAAGCTTTGAATGTAAAATAAGCCACTATTGCATTGGAGACGTCCCTGTGCGGTGCCCGGCGCGCCAGCTCGCTACTCTGCCTCCAAAATGATTTATATTTTATAAAACAGTTTTATAAAATATCTAGCTGATCCGCCGGTTTTGCTCGGACAAAATGTATTCCAATTTCGTCCAGTTAGAAAATTGCATTGATATTTTTTACAGTCGTATTTTAGTTTTATTTATAAAAAATGCTGGCGTAAATATTTTTAACGTGGGATAGGTATTTCGGTGATATTTTGAGGGCTGATAACGGTTGTAAAACGTCCGATATTTTTTACCACCGTCATGTTATGACATAGCCGGCGGTAGTGGGTACTGTTATAGTATGTACATCATTATCGTACACAAAGAGCCGGGCTCGGCACAAATGGACTCAATTGAAATTCTCTTCAAAGACTTCGGTTGCCACTGACCTAAAAACAAATTCCGGAATAGTTAAGACTGCTTTGTAAACACAAAAGGGTTGCGATCGGGAAAATTCCAATGCATACAAAAAGATAAATGTTGTAACACGAAAAGGCAGTTATTAAAATATTCTTCATTTTTCTTTCATTAATTCCCTTTTGAAGCGCTTTCATCGTTTCTTCGAAAAAATTGTGCATTGAAGAAAATTTTGTAAGGCCGATAGAAAAGTGGTCTTATATTAGTGTTTTAGAAGCGTTTGTCTGGAGGTAATACGTTTTTCTTCGGCTCTTGTTTCATTTTGTGAAGAAAGTTTTATTATTTTTCTTTAATATTATCCTGAGAGACGATATGCCGTTACAAAGGCATTGTATTCTATTGAGGGTGATAGTGATCGCGTTCCCTACAATAAACGCGGGAGAGCGGCCGCCATTATAATCTATTAAAGTCTCGGATACGAGTCTTGCCTCACTAATGTGATTTTTAAAACATTTTCCAGCGTATATTTAGGTACTTTGTGTGTATAACAAACTGGCTAAATGCAATTTTATTCTACCCGAAACAGAAGGGTAGGTATAATAGAAATTTTAAATAGTTATATTTTTGAGAATAAAGTTAATTGACGAAGTAGGTCCATTTGCTGAGTAACATAAAATATTTGAGGTCCATTTTATTTTGTATGGGGCTTAGATAGAGCAGCATTTGCATCGATTCACAAGTCATCCTGTCAGTCCCATGTTGGGTGCCAATTTTGGCAATAAAGCTGTAGGCCCCATGTTGGGTGCCAACCGGTAAGCTTTAAATTAAAACAAATCATGAATTTGAAATAGAACTGACTATCTATTTGCTAGTTGTGAAATACTAGAAGTTTTTGCTAAGTTAGATTAAAATTTACTTAAAGTCGGTACTATGATAGGTTAAAACTAAATAATTTTGTCATTACAAGTTATTGAGGTGTACGAAGATTGGTGAGCCTGTGTCTGCGCATACAGATGTATTGTATGAGTGTTTAGATGGATGTATATGTGTGAGTGTCGCACAGTTATGGCCGGTGTCGCTAGCCGCGTATAAACTGTTTGTGTACAAATTATTATACTAGGTACATCATATTTAAAGTGATTGAAACCTGCGTGTTCATTTATGCTCTACCACAAGTAAATTAAGAAAGACATATGAAAGATAGACAGATGTAGTTGCAAGTACTCTCAAGTCTCACCGCAAAATATTACCAATGGGAGGAGCATATTAAATTTTGGCTGCAAAAAATGAAATAAAAAGTTGAGTCAATTGAAGCTAGGGACCGGCGTCAGCGTCGATTTCCACGGAAAACTGATTTCCTGCACGTCTAGACACGTTTTCCCCTTTAAAATTATGTTTCACGATTTATTTGATAATGTTATTTGTAGGTTATGTTGCCCTGAAATGTTTTTTTTATCTTTTCTTTTTCAGAAATACCTCAGGTACAGGAGGGTTCCTGTCACCTGAGGTATTTCTGAAAAAGCAGCAAATCTCCCGTTTTAAATAAAAATTGGTATTTAGCTATGAAATGCATGAATTCATAAAAAGGAAATATAAACAATGAAGTAGAAGTACTCTTATATTAAAATCTTATTTTATTGTGATATGACAAGGGATGCAGAACAACAGATTGCAGCTCAGAATATACTAAAGTAATAATAATAAAATTGTGTTATCGAGAACACTATATAGCAAATGAAACACATACATTATTATGTTTTCGGCTTACTCACGTAATAATTTGACGAGGAACTCGACTAGTTTCAAGCCATGCTAGAGGCTCATAGCGTCGCGGGTCGCCAAATGCTGCTCATGAATATGAGCTTCTAGTCTCTAACTAGTCGAGTTCCTCGTCAAATTATTACGTGAGTAAGCCGAAAACAATAATACTATTTAGTATGTCTCACGAAAGTTACAATACAAATGAAACACATTTTCAATTTGATGGCGACATTAATTATAATTAAGATCAGACAGCATTGTTAGTGCCGCCAAAATGTAGTTATTAGTTTAACTTTAATCATTTAACAATTGAAAATGGCTCTAGGCTACAAGGCGCGAGAATTGATCAAACAAACAATAGTGCTTACCTGCAAAGTAGCTGGGGGTATGAGGGTAAAACTTGGACATTCAATTAGATATCTATACTTATACCTACGCTAGTGTTTTTACCCACGCCTACGTTAAAACAAAGGGGTAACGTCCCTCCTTTACAGCGGTTTTATTACAAAGGTAAAGAAATGATGGGACTCGTCTCTCTTCTATGTAATTCTGTCGGTGGAATGAGACAGTTTTGTAAATTCACGAGACACGTTGAGAATGAGTGGTTAGAGAAATTTCGTTTTCATGATTTCTTTATTTTGTAAAGCAAATTGCATTCTGTTGACATATACATACATAGGTAAAAGATTTCTACATTTACATACTGAAAAGTAATTTATTTGTTGTTTACTTATTAGGCACAATATACGAAATATCGCAAATTATTACACCTAGAGAGCAAAACGATTGGTAGAACAAGACATAAATTCTCGAAAAGGAAACAGATCGGAAAAATTACCGATGTTTCTGTGAGTAAAGTTCTAGGCGAAGCAAATTTATTTACTTTATTTTATTTGCGACACGTGTTTTTGCTACATTTGTAAGTTAATTTAGACTGTCTGGTTTATTTAATTACGTGATAATCTTCCTAGATAAAATGAAAAGCTATTTCATTACTATTGTTGAAACCTTCCAGTATGAGAGCGAATCGACATCGGCTAGGAAATGACGACGTATGCATACTGAATGCGACTAAATGTTTTCGCAAGGCAGACAGAATGGTGGACGGCCCATTTCATGCACATTTCACTGTGCGTATTCCAAGACCCAGTGGTCAGGAGCTCGACAATAGCGGACAATACGACATTGAATGCATAAAACCAGTTGTATGACGCACACACACATCGGCGACGCTGCAGGACGCCCATTGAGTGACATTACAAAAGGTATTGTGAGCGCCGGGACTAGTTTATCTCGCGGCCATTCGTTGAGACTGTTCCGCACTGATAACGTTCAAACGTCTATCATTTGTGGCCACCGCATCATGACACTGATAAAACGTGGTAAACACCAATCTCGTCAGATTATCGTCGAACACATTTGTTAGTACCAATACGCCGTGATTCCTTGACTTTGACTTATTTGACTAGTTCGTGTGCGTCACAACGAAAACATCTAATCATGGGACCGCAATAATTCTCATTGTGATTTTCCGTTCTTTGCTACATCGATTCAGGTGTAAGAGTATCTAAGGAAGCAGAACATTGAGATGGTGTTTATCCGTTTAGTTCCCGTAATTTATCTTATAGATAATGGAATTTGTCAGTTTTACTATTGATAGGTAGTAGAGGTTTAAGATAACTTCTGATAAGTCAGTCGTGATCTGACCGTGAAATCTTGCGACCGTGATACTTACAAAATCTATTAAAAGTGAAATCTGTGAATGATGCCTCCAAAGAAAATATCACAATGTCATCAAGCGTTGGTTGAATTAATCTATAAATTGGCCGGAATCTGTAATATGCAACTAAGTGATTACGTCGTTGAAATAGGGTGTGATGACGTTGATAGTTTCTTGACTGGTTTGTTTAAAGTGCAACTCAAAGGGAGTGTTAATGGACAGAAGATTAAAAAGAAATTACTGATAAAGTGGCACCAGGAGTCGAAAATGCGTGTGTGCTTCAGAGATGCTTACAGAAGAGAATGCATTTTTTACAAACTCATCTCGCCAAGCTTATTGGATATCCAAAACAAAATTGTCAACATGGAAGGTTTGAAAATGAGGTTCCCAAACTGTATTTATGCTAGTGACGACTATGATAAAGAAACTATCGTGGTGCAAGATTTGAAACAAGATGGTTTTGGCCTTCGGGATAGGCTTTTTAAGACGAATTTGGAGTACGTTTCTTTGGTTATGAGAACTTTGGCGAAATTACATGCTCTGTCTTATGTGCTACAGAAAACTGAACCTAAGAAATTTGAAGAGATAGCTTGCTTGTGTGAAGAAGACGTGCAGTACTGTAAGCCAGGACCTGCTCCAAAGAGTATGAACTCCTATTACGAAGCCTCCGTTCACGTCGTACAGGATGCAGACGCTAGAGATAAGTTGACCAGACTGACTCCAGATATTCTGACAGTGTTGTATAAATGCACGCGGTCAGATAAGTACAGCACCATTTGTCACGGTGACTGCTGGAACAACAATATACTCTACCAACACAGGGTAAGGATAATATTGTTTTCTTCTAGACGTGTAAATCTGAATTAACGCAGGGTCAAGTAGAATTTCCATGTTAATTAAAAAAAATTGGAGTGCAATATATTGTAAGTATTTTGCTAAATGAATTCTTTTCGCGATATAGTTTACGTTGGGTATTTATTCATGCGTCAGTATTTTATACATATCGCTTGTTCTAAGTTGTAAAAGTTGACAATGTCAATGAATAGGGATTTAGGATAGAACAACAGAAGTATAAATACTTTCCTGCCTCACCTTGGTCACAAATGACGCCAATTTGAGTGAGACGCCTTACTATAACTTAAATCTTTGTTTACAGGGCTGTAAGCCAGTGGACGTGGTATTCGTAGACTACCAGCTGATGCGGTTCGCGTCCCCAGTCACCGACATTGCATACTTCTTGTACATGTCCACCGATGGAGATTTCTTAGACAAACATTACAACCAAGTCCTCGACATATACTATGGGACATTAACGGCAGTACTTCGACATTGCAATTTGGACGTTGACACAGTATACCCTAGAAACATATTCGAAAAACAACTCAAAGAATATTCGGTACTCGGACTGATAGAGGCTTTAGTCTCAATGATGATAATAACGGCGCCGTATGAAGACGCCCTCAAAATGACTGAGATGAAATATGAACATTGTGAAGAGGCTCATGAAGATGAGTCCAGGGATAACTTATTGTTTGTAGAAAGAGTAAACGGAATTGTAAACGACTTTTTCAAACGGAATTATTCTTTAGACGCTCTATTAACTGAGTAAATGATTACACTAGAAAATTTTGTCTAATTACCGATTTATATTTAGACAAAAATAAGGTAATAAGTTTATTAAACCCAAAACAAAAGCACGAAGAGAAATGCGAAATTAAGTTTAAGATTAGGTGTTTGCCGCCGTCGTGGCTGAGATAATCCTTATTTTCATACTGACGCAGCCATTCTTCGGAATAAAATGTGTTGTTTGCGACTAGAAGTGCTGTAATATCGGCCATACCTTGTCCTCAGTGGAAGTTTAATCTAGTTTTATGTTTTTATGTCCTCACAAAAGAAATATTAAGGAACGACCGTCGGCCCCGGCCTTGGGAAGGAATTAATTCCTCGTCGCTGCAGTTAATTGTCTGTTACAAAGGTTTTTTCTTTGAATCTCGGTCGGGATGAACGAGAACCTTTGTAGGAAAGAAAATAATGGCTCCTAGAACAGATGGATATTTAACAAACCCAGCTGTGATGGTATTATAAGCATTATTAAGATAATTAAATTGCTCCCTTGAATAAATTTATTTATTAAATCGTTTTTGCTTGAATTTCTTTGTGTATGAAAGTTCTCGTAGTTGTAAGTACGTAAACATGTATATCGTGGTGAAGTCTTTACTTTTTGTTTTAACCAAATACTGAAGAGTTATCCACCTTTACCAAAAACATGCTACATTCTGTACTGTGTTTTTATAATAACTATCGTGAGACATACTAAATTAAGTAAAATCGCGGGTTACTCACGTGAATATACTGAGTAAAGCTCTACTAGTTTCGAACCACAGAGGGGTTCTTCCGCATGAGCTGCGTACGCGGTCGCGGCGACGTCGCGCAGCTCACTGACATTCTGTACTGACTTTAAAGGAACACAAACAATCTCACAATCACATTCAAAATATCGGTTAGTATTTACGCTCAATGCTAAATATGCAAATACTAAACATAATTGCATTGACGCGAATCATTAAATTCCAATGTAATATTATTTGGCCGCATCAAATTATTCAATGGCCAACCTAAATATTATGCATTGCTAATGGGCAAATAGGGGAATGTCATCTCTCGTTTATTCATCGTTAATACTCAATTTAGTCAAAACTTCCATAGACAGTAAAGGTTATTTTAGTTTGAAATTTACGGTTGTGCCTTTGAAGAATTACTTAGTAATAGAAACTAAAGCATATAATTTGTCAAGTAAAGGATAGTGGAACGCCTCAGAAAAACTTTTCAAACAATTTTGTACTGTATTTGTAAAGGCAAATTATCAATGAATATGGCATTGTATTAAAACCTGATTGGATTGAGCGATCACCGAAGGGGTAGGCAGAGGTGCACATCACGGAACTACATGCCATTGTACAATGTAATACCCACTATTAATTATTATTTATGTTATAAGTCCCATGTAATAGGGGGTGAGCCTATTGCCACATACCGGGCGCAATTCTAGACGCCGTGCTACTACCGATTTTTTTTAAAACCAGTCTGAAGCAATAACATCTGATTAACTTGTGGCGTATTATTAATATCAGCTTTTGATTAGGGATTTAGAAGTGGTAGGTAGACTAGGACCGATATATTGTGCCTGTTTTTATGCCACTTTTCGCCTGTTATGTTATAAGTTCCAAGTGGCCAGTCTATCCCCATAAGTCAGGTACAATTCCTATTACTTATCAAAAACATATAACTCCAAACAACACTACTTATTATACGACATTAAAAATCAAAATTGCTATTATTACTTTTCGTCGTCTTAGTCGCACATTTGCCTAAATTAATACTGCGTCATTTTCGATATTTCGAAAACAATTTCGCTTTCAAACTAAGTGGAATTGTTTGCTTAGTTCCTGAGGCTATATTAAATCTTACTTTGTGGCGGTTTCTGAGGGGTCTTTACTGTCGCGTAATGTGAATATGTATACTGAATATTGTTTTTAACGTGGTTTTATTTAAAACGAAATGTTTGTTGATCTTAAGTACAATGTTTGTGTAAATAGGATTTGGTTTCGTGATTTTACGTAAGAATCACACATGTTTGTGTTCGTAATGGTTTACTTTTAAGTATTACAAATTAAGTTGGTTTAAAAGGAACATGTATGATATATTGATATAATCATAATGAAAAGTACTTTGTTGATAATTAATTTACACTTTGTTTTTACAACAACTATTGTGAGACGTACTAAATTAACTAAAAATCGCGGGTTACATAGGGTGTAGGCAGCGCAACATCGCCGCGACTGCGCACGCTGTTCATGAGGAAACTCCACTGTGGTTCGAAACGAGTAGAGCTTTTCTCAGTATTAATTAGAGTAACCCGTAATTTTTAGTTTATTTACACTTTAGTATAAAACTAGCGACCCGCCCCGACTTGCAAGGATGCAATATGCATGTATAATACATATAAAATTTCCTTAAGAATCACTCTATCTATTAAAAAAACCGCATCAAAATCCGTTGCGTATTTTTTTGAGATCTAAGCATACATAGGGACAGACGAACGGCGGATAGTGACTTTGTTTTATACTATGTAGTGATACACTTACTTCAGTAGATTAGAAAATCTGCACAAGATAGACACAAGAAGTTTATTGTAGAAGTCTCCTTCATAGAGTTTCAGATCTTTCAAATATACTGATAAAGGTCACATAGACAAGATACAAAATCATTTAAAGTAATAAAAATATTTATTTTAGTAGTCTACTCTAGAGTGACGTGACTACTGATGTTATTAACCTTAAATGATTTCAATTCGTTTATAGCTCTATTGTATTTGATGTTCATTTTATTGTAGTCTGTATTGTTAATAGTGTTGTACTGAAATAATATCTAAGTACTATTGAGACATTGCTTTGTTTACTATTTGAATTATAATTTATAGTTTAGATCTCTGAAGTCAGAGGAATTTAAGTCCAACGCGATTAGATATAAGTAGATGAAAGTTTCGTGAAATACAAATTCGAATAAATTTACGTGTCTACGATATATTTATTTATTTATACATTTGGAAAACCAACAGCTATACAATTTGATTAAATAGAATGTGGTATGCAACAAGAAGCCAATTACTGGTTTCCACGATTAGTCAAGTATTAAGGGAAAGTCTTAGTATGGGGGTAAATCTTTTTTTTAATATACATTGCCCCACACTAGTATTTTCTCCTGTGTAGTGGGTGTGTCTACAAATATACAATTTCACAAACGCATGACACCCAACCCCGGATCAACAATTTGTGGATCATACAAAGAGTTGCTCCGTGCGGGAATCGAACCCGCGACACGTTGCGCAGCAGCCGGTTGTCGAGACACCGCACCAACCATGCCGTCATTTTTCTTATAAATATAAGCCATACGCTTACATATCATGTATGTATCATTTTAAGTGTGTTTGTATGACGAAGTGAATATACTGGTAACATTTTTTCCCTCACATAAAAACCGATTTAAATAAATTTCGTTCGAAAACAAATGGAAACTTGAAGACGGCTAAAGGACAGGGGCTTTTTTGCACGAGTGAAGCCGCGGGCTAAAGAAAGCTATTATGTATTCTGTGCAACGAAATTAAAAGAAAACTCTCACTGTTTACATTAGCCGCGTCTCGATTTCTGTTAGAAGAAAACTCGGTGATATTGGACATATTCTTTAGCAACAATTCATTTTTAAGTTCTTGTTTAGTGATTTCAAGAAATAAAATGTCTGACAGTTTCGCTTACTATTTAATTATCCGTCTGCTTGTATACCTTATCCAAAAAAAAAATTTTTTTTTTTAAATATAGAATATGTTCATGCAATGGAGAATTCTCAATGGATAAATTTGGAGAAATTTAAGTGGATTTATCAGTAGGAAATAATATAATAACAGCATTGTAATTAGTCAATAATAGTTTCAATAATATTAATTGATCTCAGCCTGTATTTTACCGTTAGTATCAACTTAAGTAACAATAATAAACATTCAATCCCATATAACACGCTATTCAACACCGACAAAAACTTATATTCCCAAAAGATGGATGTCAGGAAAAGTTCCAAAGAGGAATCATATCGTTGACCTATTTCCAGAAGTTTGACAACGAAATAATTTCCTGATTTTATCGGACATGCAATAAAATGGCGGCGCGTCAACTTGCTGGATATTACCATAAACAAATGAAGTTTAACGTCACGGCAAACTGCGTCTTTGTCACAGATGTTGATGTTGGGAAGCTAGATAGTGCTTGTCTGTGTATGAAACTGATAACGGAGGATGTTTAACACATTTTGATTCATTCATTTCGCGGAAAAGAAGTCGGTAATGTATATTATGTACCCACTAATGGGAGCTTCCATATTTTTGGTCACTAGATCGCGCAAATGTATGTATATGGTATTTTTGTCCAATCACAGCAGCTGTCAAATATTGAACGTCCAATGGCGTGACACTAGCTAATTCTCTATTGGACGAAGAACGAGAGGTTCATACTAGCGCCATCTAAAATATGGTAAGCCCCATTGTAGTGTGGTGAAAGCAGAATACAATATATGTATTTATAACAACTCCTATTATTTCTGTGAGTTTGTATAAGAACTGATTAAGGGACATAATTGCCGGTCTTTGACAAACCAGAACTTTTCTAATTGATATCTCTTCTCCTCCACAAAAAGGGGGTTTACCAAATATAGAGACTGTGATACCACTCTTTGTAGAGGAGGTCCATAGTATAGCAGTGGACTACAACGGTAATGTTGATAATGAAAAATCTTGCTACATCCAGTTACTCTAACATCTATAGTCTTTACGTCATATATTCCAAACTTAAATAGTTCAAGGGTTGTCTGCACCACGTGCGACCCGCGTCAAAGTACGCCCTGCACAAACAAAAGGCTGTACAAATTGAAATTGGGGACATTTTTATTGTTTCCACAAATGTGGAGGGGAGACAGTGCTTAGGGAAATATTTTCTGGAATATTTGCATTGTGGGAAGTCGCATACGTGATGTGGAATGGTGGTTTGGTATGTCAATCGGTTCAACTGTGGGCTGTTTTATAAATAAAAAGTTAGATGAGTTAATTCAGTCTATTTTATGGCTTGGTATCGAATAATTGTGATTTACGATATTATGTGTATGACAGTATGCTTCTGATAGTTTGCGCTAACTCGCATTGAGCAAGCGTGGTGATTAATGCTCAAACCTCCTCCGTGTGAGAAGAGGCTTTGCTTGTTGATGATGATATTATATAAAATAGTAAGTAAAAATCATTAATTTGACATACATTTTTGCAACAGCAACACGAACGTGATAGAAATAATAAGAGTTTAACTTATATAAGTAGGTATTGCTGCTTTATTACAAATCAAATTATCCTATACGATTTTAACCACTGACCAACAATCTGAAATGACAAAAGATTAAACGAGCCATTGTTTGCGATTTCAACTTAATTTTAATTTAATGTAAACCAGAGGAAATTCATGAAGGCTTTAACGTTAATTGAGTGACACCAGCGTTGTCACATCTGTGAGAGGATAAATGAATTATTGATTTCAGGCTTAAAATTACCTCACATAATTGGGAAGCAAGTAAGTGCGTACATTTGCATCGTCCATGAGGGAATACTGCAGTATTCACATCAATATGCTTTAATGAGGAATAATTAAAATAAAATAAACACTCATTATTCGAGCTCATTTTGAAACCAACTGAGATGGTAATTAAATAGTTCGTTACGGTTTT